TGTATATATTTGCTTGATTATTTAGTTACTTTCTGACGGGGATTGAAGAGTTCTGAATGTGTGTGAATGTTTGCCGAGCGTAAGTGAGCACACTCCGGAGGTCGAGATAGTAATTTATCTTTGTCCAAACTGGGTAGTGCAACATCGAGTATTCCACTGTCACATCTATGTCGGTGGTGTCCATTGATTTGCAAATAAATTTGATGTATTGGTTTGTTGAATTTGTTGTGTTTAGTCTTATGAATATGGTGTTAAAATATTTGATGTTGTGCTTTGTGAAGTGTATATGGATGTGCCTGAGTGGTTTTGTGTAGTTGATTGTTTGGTATTGGTGAGCACACTCCGGAAGTGGAGATAGTAATTTATCTTTGTCCAAACTGGGTAGTGCAACATCGAGTATTCCACTGTCGCTTATCTGTTAGTGGTGTCCATTCATTGAATATCACAGTTGTTGTGTTTGTGTATGTTATGTTGAATTTTTGTGTAAAATGTGCAAGTAGTAATTGGAGTGAGGTTGCCTAATGTGGATGGTTTGTAGGGTGCGTGTGTGGGAGAGAGTGAGTGATGGTGGATGATGAAGATGGTATTTGTGTTTGACGTTGATTTGTTTGTACTGTGTATCACAGAAGTGTTAATCTTTCACAGATGTGTGGTGAGTGTTGTTTGTGGACAACGTGAGTTGTAGTTGAGTGTTTTGTTTCGCTTAATAATAGTTGGGTTGAAGAAACAGTTTATTTTTCTGAGGTGGTGTGTCGCCGACACCAAAGGGTTAGCTGGTCGTTTAGTTAATTGTTGTTCTGTGAACAGAGGAGTGTGGTGTGAATGTTTTGTGTAGAGACGTCAGACTAATATGTGTTGTTGATTTCTTCATGTGTAGATGCGGAGCTGAATAATGTAGTGATTATTGGAGAGTGTTGTTGTCGTGTGTGTGTATGCATGTATGTTAGTGATATTGGTGATGTTAGTTGTGCAGATGCGTCATTTTGTCTTGTGAAATGCTTGTGTAACATTGACTGGTTGTGTTCTGTAGTTAAGATGTGGGAGTGTGAGTGGAGAACAGGATGACTGTGGTGACGAGAGTATTTCTGAATAGTGTGTAGACAGTGTTAGTTGTGGTAGATGTCCATCGAGATATCTGTAGTTTTCGTTTCGGACGATAGTATTCGCATATGGAGTATATTGATAGTTAGTGTTATTTGTTCCTTTTACATCGGACGTGAGTGATTATGTGGTGTTGGTGATTTTGTGTACGGTGGTTATTGACTAATCGAGTAGATATTGTGTGTTGTGTGATTTAGTTGTGTGTTGTATTGCACTGGGATCTTATGTTTGGATAGTGATGTTGGGACTGTAGTGGTGTGATAAGTTGTTTGTATTTGATGATTGATCGTTTACAGGTGTTTGCAGTGAGCTTGCTTTCGACATACTTTTCTTCGCGTGTTCGACACTGCATAGATAACTTGTCCCTTTATAGATTGGTGGATGTGTGGCAAAATGAGAAAAAATATTTTTGCGTATATATGTATGAGAATAGATGATTGTGTTTGTTGGATTGCCTGAACGATGTGTATGAAGTTTTGTTGTTTGTGGAAATTTGTTGACCATGGGTGGTCATATGGACGTGTCCATAATCTAATACCCTCAGTAGACATTCTGCGGGATTCGCTGATGGACTAAATGAATAAGTTGACCGTTGAGTCGATAGACATTATCATTCTCGACGGAGACGGTACACGATTATATTTGTATGACTGGAGGATGTTTCGTGTTGATGACGAGTTGTCAGTTGGAATTGAGGTTTCTTATATGTATATGTATATGTATATATATATATATGTATATATTTGCTTGATTATTTAGTTACTTTCTGACGGGGATTGAAGAGTTCTGAATGTGTGTGAATGTTTGCCGAGCGTAAGTGAGCACACTCCGGAGGTCGAGATAGTAATTTATCTTTGTCCAAACTGGGTAGTGCAACATCGAGTATTCCACTGTCGCTTATCTGTTAGTGGTGTCCATTCATTGAATATCACAGTTGTTGTGTTTGTGTATGTTATGTTGAATTTTTGTGTAAAATGTGCAAGTAGTAATTGGAGTGAGGTTGCCTAATGTGGATGGTTTGTAGGGTGCGTGTGTGGGAGAGAGTGAGTGATGGTGGATGATGAAGATGGTATTTGTGTTTGACGTTGATTTGTTTGTACTGTGTATCACAGAAGTGTTAATCTTTCACAGATGTGTGGTGAGTGTTGTTTGTGGACAACGTGAGTTGTAGTTGAGTGTTTTGTTTCGCTTAATAATAGTTGGGTTGAAGAAACAGTTTATTTTTCTGAGGTGGTGTGTCGCCGACACCAAAGGGTTAGCTGGTCGTTTAGTTAATTGTTGTTCTGTGAACAGAGGAGTGTGGTGTGAATGTTTTGTGTAGAGACGTCTGACTAATATGTGTTGTTGATTTCTTCATGTGTAGATGCGGAGCTGAATAATGTAGTGATTATTGGAGAGTGTTGTTGTCGTGTGTGTGTATGCATGTATGTTAGTGATATTGGTGATGTTAGTTGTGCAGATGCGTCATTTTGTCTTGTGAAATGCTTGTGTAACATTGACTGGTTGTGTTCTGTAGTTAAGATGTGGGAGTGTGAGTGGAGAACAGGATGACTGTGGTGACGAGAGTATTTCTGAATAGTGTGTAGACAGTGTTAGTTGTGGTAGATGTCCATCGAGATATCTGTAGTTTTCGTTTCGGACGATAGTATTCGCATATGGAGTATATTGATAGTTAGTGTTATTTGTTCCTTTTACATCGGACGTGAGTGATTATGTGGTGTTGGTGATTTTGTGTACGGTGGTTATTGACTAATCGAGTAGATATTGTGTGTTGTGTGATTTAGTTGTGTGTTGTATTGCACTGGGATCTTATGTTTGGATAGTGATGTTGGGACTGTAGTGGTGTGATAAGTTGTTTGTATTTGATGATTGATCGTTTACAGGTGTTTGCAGTGAGCTTGCTTTCGACATACTTTTCTTCGCGTGTTCGACACTGCATAGATAACTTGTCCCTTTATAGATTGGTGGATGTGTGGCAAAATGAGAAAAAATATTTTTGCGTATATATGTATGAGAATAGATGATTGTGTTTGTTGGATTGCCTGAACGATGTGTATGAAGTTTTGTTGTTTGTGGAAATTTGTTGACCATGGGTGGTCATATGGACGTGTCCATAATCTAACACCCTCAGTAGACATTCTGCGGGATTCGCTGATGGACTAAATGAATAAGTTGACCGTTGAGTCGATAGACATTATCATTCTCGACGGAGACGGTACACGATTATATTTGTATGACTGGAGGATGTTTCGTGTTGATGACGAGTTGTCAGTTGGAATTGAGGTTTCTTATATGTATATGTATATGTATATATATATATGTATATATTTGCTTGATTATTTAGTTACTTTCTGACGGGGATTGAAGAGTTCTGAATGTGTGTGAATGTTTGCCGAGCGTAAGTGAGCACACTCCGGAGGTCGAGATAGTAATTTATCTTTGTCCAAACTGGGTAGTGCAACATCGAGTATTCCACTGTCACATCTATGTCGGTGGTGTCCATTGATTTGCAAATAAATTTGATGTATTGGTTTGTTGAATTTGTTGTGTTTAGTCTTATGAATATGGTGTTAAAATATTTGATGTTGTGCTTTGTGAAGTGTATATGGATGTGCCTGAGTGGTTTTGTGTAGTTGATTGTTTGGTATTGGTGAGTACTTTCCTGACGTGTTGATGTTTTTTTTCCGATCTCTTTGAGTATTTTGTTGACCGTTTTGACGTTGTTTTGTTTGATTGTTTATTTGAATAGGTTTTCTTTTCCGAATTTCACATCATATCCGGTTTATACTTGTATCTCACTGGTAAATTTGTCACTTGGTAATGGAGAATATTTAATTGTAGCATGATTTTTAGCACTGGTTTCTTTTTGTCATTGTTAGGGAATCGTCGAATATCCGATCGAATATTATTAATATTACGTGTAGGGTAGTGAAACATATATTGATATGTTAGATCGTTTTCTGATTATTACTGTATGATTTTCTGGTACTTATTTTAACGGAGTCTTTTAGTCGTTATCTGTGAAAAATATATTTGAAATAATCTAAGCGATTGAAATTTAAATTATTTCATCGTTTTGCCCAGCTAGTTTGTCTGACTTACGCATGCACTCCTTACTTCGTGATGAGTGATGAGATCAATGCACGTATAGTGAAAGCCAAAGCGGCTTATGCCAATCTGGGCTATCTTTGGCGCCTTCGTGATGTTAGTCTGGCTGTAAGAGGTCGGATCTACAACGCGTCGGTGAGAGCAGTTTTTCTCTATGCTTGTGAAACCTGGCCTCTCCGAGTTGAAGACGTTAGAAGACTCTCTGTGTTCGATCATCGCTGTCTCCGAAGGATCGCTGACATCCAGTGGCAACACCATATCAGTAATGCAGAGGTTCGGCATCGTGTGTTCGGGCACAGAGATGATAATGCAATCGATGTCATCATCTTAAAACACCGACTTCGGTAGCTTGGACATGTTCTACGAATGTCGTCCCAGAGAATTCCACGTCGTGCATTATTTGCCGACTCTGGGACTGGTTGGAAGAAGCAGAAAGGTGGTCAGTGCATGACATGGTGTCGTGGCATGAAAGAAAGCTGCAAAGGGACTGGCTTCTGTTGGTCCTTCACGACTCCCTGGTTGGGGTCTGAGAGATGGTGCTACACAGTGGCTAGAGACGTTACCAGATATGGCTCAGAATAGAAGCCAGTGGCGATCCTGCTGTAACCTTCTTTTACTTTCTTCATAAAAAGTGGTTGTGTCTTCCTTAACTGAAAGATTTCTTCTGATTGTACCTTTCCGTTCCCTCATTATTACTACACTACCTTACACCAATCTCTTCGTTATTGTTCTCTTTTTTACGCTCCTTACCTTTTTTTTCTCTTCGAATTCTCATTGTTTTGTGTGGCGCATATATATTGGCGCTCACTTGTACCAATATTTGTGTTCAAATAAATAAGCTTGTCTGGACGTCTTCAGCGTAGTAATCATTTTTGTGTGCACTGTTTGTCTTTTTCGAATATGTTATTTTTTTTTGTCACGATTGTAATGTTTTACTTTTTGTTTATATTCATCACTTCATCTTGTAGTCTTTTTTCCGTTACTAATTCTTGTTTTTACTGCTAGCGTATTTCTCGAAATTTTCGTCACATTTTTCACTTATTATTTTTTTCTAAAGATGTTGGTTTTATTATTTTCAGCTTAAAATGAATTCAATTTGGCGGACATTAAATTTTAATTTAAATAATCGCTTCCATTTCCATTTCTCATTGTGGTGTAATGTCAACAATGCTGAAGATATCCAAACAAAAATACATTCAAAACAATTTCCCACCCTTACAAACGCTGCCGTTGTGTTAATTGATAGTGATGTCATCATCGATATAGTTCAGGTTGGTTATGTGCTATATTTTCCCACAAATAAATATGACAGTACCACTTATTTGTAATGTTTACTAATCTCCATTTGTTTTTTTAACCTTTATACGCAATTTATCGTTTTCTAACAGTGAATTTGTGTAAAGTGTATATTTTGTCCCCATTTTAAACTTTATCCATTATGAACGGATGTTCTAATTGTTATCTCTTGCTCTTGATCAAACTTTTGACGACACTTATTATCACCGTTGATTATTTTCAGCTATAAGGGATTGATCTATCATATGTTTAATAGTAATGATTAATATTGTTTCATTATCATATCGTTCATATTTTTGATTAGTTTCTACCATTAGTACTAAATATTATCAAGTTGCATCTGGGATTTAGTGATTTAATCATTCAGCTTCACTTTTTATGATCATAGTTTTGAGCTCCATTGTTCCTTTTTTTCAATCTCTTTATTTATTTAATTTCAGTTTTCCTTCACTGTCACTTATATTTAGAGTTTTGAATTTAGCATGAAGTGTTCCAACATTTGATATTTTACCACCCGGATCTATAATGCAAACAAATATTGTTGAATGATGCTAAGTTTGTTTTTTCTTTGAATTATATCGCTTTTTTCATGTAAATGTTTATGATATTATTATTATTTAAAGATATATCTCAACAAGGGAAAAATAAACATAGATTGTTCGTCTTCAAGATTTGTGACTAAGTTTGAGGTAATACCCGATGTTCTCGTAAAAGGCCATTACCTGTGGAGTTAAATTATGTCGGGTATGAGGCAGTTACCAAGCAACGGCATTGGAAGATGCCTGTGTAATATCGCGAATTGATTAAAGTTAAGAATGTAGACTTTCGGATGCTACCTCAGTGGTTAAGCATTTGTCATCACAGATGAAATTCCTAGGTTAGCTCCGTGGAGGGGTCATGCGTTCACACTGACGAAGCAGCTCGACAGTAATTTTCTATTTTCAACAGTTGTGTAACTAAAATCAGTCTGTGGAGTAAACTGTTGTAAAATGGTACGTGACGGTCAACGTTTTTGCGATTTGCTATAAAGGTCATTGTTCTCCTTATTTTGATTTGAACAAAATATGCAGTTAGCTTATTCATCAATAAGTATTGCATCTTGATATATTTATTGATTTCAAAATTTTTATTTATTTATTAGTCTGTTAATCAATCTTTAATATCATTTCATGATGATAATCTTTGGGAAAATTAAATCGTCAGCTTCTTAATTGTTCAGTATTTTTACCTGAATTATGACCGACGTTTATGACCTAGATCTTTATGAATTTTACCAATCTAATAACGATTTTTTATACATCTATACTTTTAGATAGAGGCCGCTATTACCCAAGCTTTAATCCATTATAACGATGAATCTTCGGGTGGAATGTATACACGAGGGTTGGCTACCGAGATTCTATATTGCCTTAGCCCAAACCGATCGATTACTCATGCGCTGGATACATTTGGAATTAAAGCATCTACCAAAGAACTAATTGTAGGGATCATTTATTCCACAGATGTTTATCAACCAAATGATGCAGTTTTACAAAGCTACTTATCACAAATTGTAAATACAATTCAAGGTACAATAAATACTGGTTCATTGACACAGTTGGTCAAGAACACTGATAAAGTTTGTCAAGAATATGGAATAACAAACTTAGAACGAAGTTTAATCAATAAGTCCGATGATTCTCATAGATCTTTACTTGAGAGTATCTTAAGTCGCATGGCATCAAGGGATCTTTTCAGATCTTGAAAATACGAATAATTGAATGACATAATTATACTGATAATCTTTATTTTGTATAAATTAATTTTAATGTACCATACTGTTCTGTAAATATACATATGATAATTATCTTTAGTTCTTTATTGACATAAAACTAAGATAATTTACCGGTGACCTTTGTCTTTCAAAATTTCAAAAACAGTGGGTAGTTGTTAATTTTTCTTGTAGAAAGGACATAGTTATTAGACCGCGCTTAAAACCATTAAAGGCAAATTTAAAGGAACAGTTATATCGAACTTCTATTTTCCATAGGTTTTCAACGATATACATCCAAATCGTAAAATCTGTCTTTTGTTTTAAGTGAAAGCAAATGTGTAAATGTTTTAGAAAGCATAATACACTAACACGTTTTTAGATGTGTTTGTCAAAGACAGCCTATTAAAGTAGATTATAATGGTCAAACAAATCAATTTCATTCTTTTAGTCTGTAGTTTGATATTTATTATCATTTCTTCATCAATTTGCTTGCAAATTGTAAATATTACTTCTAAATAAACAGGAGTAATTTTCATTTTTATATATACCTGGCCATGAGTAACAGTATTTAAGCCAGTCAGCTCAATTATTAAGCCATAATTCACAGGTTATCATTCATAAGAAGATTTCGACCAATGACTTCTAATTTGTTCTTGTGGAAAAAAGATCACTGGACTTGAATAATATTAATATATTGGGTCTTTAAAGAGTCACTCGAAGATGATTAAACCATTTCGAGATTAGATATAAAGCTACAAGTGAATGATGTGGGTTATCGGATGACTTCGTTAATTCTTATCTATGTAAGTATACAACGCATCCCAATACCTACGCTCTACTCCAGCAATATCAAGTTATGAGTTCACTTTACAGTCAGAATAAATACCCATATTTCTTTTTAGACTATGTGATACAGAGTATTGCATTGTAAGTGTTGATGCTATCACATGTTACGTGCTTATTTAAACGATTTCTAATCTTCCATGGATTTTTAACAAAACATCACTACTGATCTGAAGTGTTACATGAATAGTTGATACGTCATCCAATGTAAAATTATATATATTCTATGTAGGTAACCATAAAATCAATGATTTCATACATTTTCTTTGTTTTATAAGTTCTTGCATAACATGAAAACTAATCGTAGCCAAAGAATATGAATTCATTAATTTTGTAAATCCCCTTTAGTCACTTGTATCCTAAGGACAATAATACTAAGAATAAGTGTACATATTTTATATTGAATTTAAAGGGAAGTCTTGATTAGGGTTACAGTTGAACCAAATGGTAGCTTTTAAAAAATTAAATAATTGGGACAATTAAAAGATCATTTCTAGAAATATTCCTGACGAGAAGACTGAGATCGTAGACAGAAATGTAAAATTAGTCTTATAGGTTACCCAATACTAAATACAGAAAAGATTGGTTAGTTGAGTAAGGTTCAAGCAATAAATCAGAGAAAAGAAACGTGGTTGATGGTATAATATACGATATTATCCGTCTCATTATTATGATACTGCACAGATGCTAAGTAATGTTGATTACAGTATCCTTTTTGATGGATTAGTTTGGTTTGAATCTTCTGACAGCAGTAGCTTTAAAAAGTGCAATACTTTTAAAGTCATTAACCCATTGATTATGCTGAAAGGATTTAGAAAGTTGTGTTCGGTACCAAATAATACTGAAAACATAGTTTCATTCTAACCTTGATTTTTCTGGAATGTCCTCAGAGATGCAAATAATGTTTCTCATTTCTGTTCTTCCAACCAGATACGTGTGAACCGGCAGACTCAATTCCAGGTAACACGGTGTGGAAATGTACCCACGGTTGACTGTCTCAGAGTGGAGGCAGCTAAACCGTTGGTTATCGATTTTTCAACATAGCTTCTAATCGAAAATTAATCGTCCTAGCTTCCTCACTCTTACAGCCAAGTTTGGGAAACAAAATCTTTTAAGGACCGTAGCATACTTTGTTTCTATCTTTCCATAAATTTACAACTTTGACTATGATCAATTCCTGTTCATCTTTTTCTTCGTAACATGTTTTCAGCTATCTGTTCTTTGAAAAATCAATCGGAAACTTGAGTTGAGTCACCTACAATAATCCTAACTTTACTTACGTAAGTTTTCCTATCCATCGTAAAGACCGCATAGTCCCTATCACAATGGAGAATGGCAATATTTTAAATATACACTACTTTTCGTAATGCCTCTTGATGATTCCTAGGTAAGACCTTGAGCTGTGTGGTGTCATGATGTAATATATTGATTTGCTAAATCAACTATTCGCGAGCAATTTCTTCTACGAAGGTAATTGCAATGATGAATACAGTAATTATTACAAGTTCATGTAAATACGACAAATAACCTACGTCCACAAATTATGGGAAATAAAACTAGTTACTCAATATTTAGCAGTAGTATAAGACAATATGAATCAAAAGAAAGTAAGGACGGGATGCAAACGTACTTAAAACTATGAATATATGGAACATTAGACAAATACTATGTTTTCCGTTATCTTTTTGTTTTATATTCTCGTTGTTATTATTGACTTTCCATCATTTTTGTTATTTGCTTTATATAAAAGTTTATAAGGTCGTAATAATAAATAGATTCTTTGTTATATCCAAGTGAGCAGAAAATTGTATTTCTTATGTTTCGTGACTTGATGTGGTTCACTTCTTCAGAGTAACTAAATATCCGAAATAAAATTAACGCAACCCTAAACAGTACTGTGGAAATAATTCAGAATATAAGAGTATTCTTTCTACAAGAAGCTTGGCCAAGCAATTATTTTTAGACTATCTGTAGGATCTAACATGTAACAACCACATCTTTATATCTTAACTGAATCCTTTCTCAACCATTACTGATCGTCGTAACTCAATAGGGCTAATTTTTACATAATTTTAAGTAGCATAACCGATTACCAGATTGTTCACCCCGGTTCTACCACCACGATCAGTGCTTTTATTTCAATCGGTATCTCGACTTATGTACTAACATCTGAACCATGCTTCTCCACAGTGACGCTTGTAAAATTACTTGCCACAACATGATCTTGTCTGCAAACTCGCATCCATGGAGAATATGATCATTTCTACTTATAATTCAGCATTTAGCTAGTTCCCACAACATGTAAGAATAACATAATTCAACCCTAACTTATGCGAAGTATTTGTCATGAAACAACTATTTGTGGAAAAACACAATATAAAAAATAGTTTTATTATGCAAACTAAATTTCTATCCGTTTGAAGAATTCAGTCTTTTAAGAACGAATTTCCTCCAAGTTCTTATTTGATTTTACGAAGATCAAAGAACTTAGGTAGTGTCAGACTGAATTTTGGAATTGAGTAACACTTGTTTGTCCTCAGGCTATACAGTATTCACAATAACGTTAACAATTTGAGATGATATTCGAAGGCAATGGACGAAAAGTTAGCACTTATCTATTCTAATTAACTACTCAAGTGGTTGAATAACATTGTGATGTATGATGAAAAGGTGCTGTAGTGAACGAGAACACAATTGGGGACAATTAAATATATTAGATCACAAAATTACAGAATATCTTAGTAAAATCTGAGAGCCATACGGTAAATACTTTATTTGCAAAATATTAATCAATTGTCTCAAACTTGACTGTTCCTTTTGTAAATATCAATCAGCCATTTCAGACTTCATTGATCTTGTTAACCTTCTGGTTACGGACCTTTCACCTTCGAATGATGATACATACTACTTATATCTGTCGATATCAGTAGCACACACTGAAAGCTGGTGATAACTTTTTCTGATATAAAACAATCAAGATTTTCGGACATTAAGTTTTAAATAATCTGAACAGTCTAAATAATAGGTTTAGTTTTTGTAAATAACACATACAACTAGGTGTTTATACAACTCTAGTGACAAGCAAATTTACATGATAAACTTCAAAATATTCTATTTTGAAGCAACGAGCATTTCATCAATTCAATCATTATATCTCATGAGTTTCGCAAAGAAATAACTTTTTATTCTACTGCTTCACAATCAGCTTCTTATCACAAGCTTACTAATAACATGACCAAAACTTATTAGTCTTCTTACTTGATCTATGAGTTAGTGAGAGTTATAGTATATCTTTTGGTGATGATTTTTTTTAAACATTTGTGTTATAAGACTGAAGAATAAGTAAACGGAACTTGGGAGTTTTGTGGAATTTACAATATAGATTGGTTGAGAATAATTAAAAGTCCTGCGTATGACTTTCACCATTCTGTAAAGAGTCGGGTAATAAGTTTAACGCTACAAAACAGATTAATAATGTAACATTAACTTTTCCAGTGCTTACTGAATACCAATAGGATCAGGTCTATCCTGAATCATGATGGTTAGTAATATACCATTAAAACTTTAATAGTTGAATTTTACTACTGTCATTACAATAAGATCTAATAATTCAGTAGCTTACTTAATTATAATAAGAAAATTACATTAATACATTTTATACCTAGATGTTTTCACTAGAACTCACTGTTGAAAGTGTGTTCAACAGTAATGCAAAGCAGACTACCAAAGTCACATTCAAAAAAAATTGAATTTTTAAATGAAAACTATTTTCATCTTAATACTACTAAAATAACTTGACCTGCAATACAAGTCTCTTTCGTATAGTGAAATATAAATGCGCCTACATATGCATATGCATTGATGCATATGTTAGATGACGTTTTCACAGAATTTTGGCTGAATGCCAATTCTTTTATTTTCTCTCAAGAGGTCAGTCGATTAAACGTAATCAATACAAGTATGATAAAAAGACGTATATTCTTCGTTCTATTCTAACAAGAGAATGAATGTACGTAGATATACATATGCATTTATGTGCATGCATAGTTTGCCTGTAGCATACTAAGTACACTTATATTTTCTCAGACTAAACAAATTTAGTTACAGTAAAAACAAAGGAACAATAACTTCAAATAATGAAAAAATCATAAATTTCACTGAATAAATGATTTTGATAAAAAAAGTTATCATACAAACTTCCGTATCATCAGTTTTAACACTTCTTACTATTTGACTTATCATTAAAAACA